TTGTGATCTACTTTTGTGCAGGGCAAGACTACATTTTGGCGGTTACCCGCCATGGCTTTTGACGTTAAGTCGCCAGGGCATATGTTGTTTAAGCTCTATGCAGGATTTGCAGAACTATGACATATAAATGATTAAGTTCAAGCTCATTACCAAAGTTGATGCTTCAAAATGATTATCCGTTCTGGATTTTTCTCAAAGGCTATAAGTCGTCGGGTTATAAAAATTCTGGCTTACAACGGAGGCGTATTAAATCGCCGTCGGCCAAGAGCCGCCGAGTATTCAAAACTCCGGATTTACTTGTCAACAGATAAGGTATTCAAATCTTTAATAGCCAACATGGCTGGATTTTTATTATGATTATCAGTAACTAATATTATGATTGAGGTTTTCAAAGTCGCTTCAGCGCAATGGCTATTGTTTTATCAATGGATATGCTTTATTCTACAATGAAAGGAATAGTCCCGAGTCGCTGCAGGCTTACGACCTGGCACTTGGGGGCTACATTATTCAAATTGAGGTTACATCAAATATGCAAGTCTCATGTCGCTGCAAGCATGCACCATGACACTTGGGGGCTAATGTAAAGTCATTTTTTGCTCACCTCATTGAAGACCTGACTCATCACATCGTAATGAGCCGGCCCTTGGGGGCTACCAATTGCTCCTGTCAACAGTTCAAGATACACAAGTCTTAATCCAGTATATTGAAGGATCCATTGCTCAGTTGGTAAAGCACAAAGCTCTTAACCTTGTGGACATGGGTTCAAGCCCCATGATGGAGATTACATCATATGATGTCATTATCAATGAATTATATACAAAATCCCAGCTCAGTAATATCTAACTGAGCCGGCCCTTGGGGGCTACACGTTGCTGCTCCAATTTACATGATAATATTTACAAAGTTCCTGCTCATTATTGCATAATGACCCGGCCCTTGGGGGTTACACTGGTTGAAGTTTTATGAGCATAAGGCAATTACAAGTCCCAGGTTGCTGCAAGCATGACAACCTGGCACTTGGGGGCTACAGGTAATATGGATATAAGGGAGAAATATCTTCCAATTTTCAGTTTTGAGCAAACCAGATTGACCCGGCATCACCAATCATTATGACCCGGTGTCTGCAACAATCATAACCCGGTGTCATCAATAATCATGAACCGGCATTGGCAACAATCATGAACCGGCATTGGAAACAATCATGACCAGGAATTATCAGTTTTTATAACCCGGAGATTTTGGAAATTATAACCCGGCAAGATCTATATCTTTAAGCCGGTTGAAAATCAGATGAGTATTTTAAGACCTATATTTTTAATCCGGCGCTTTGGAAGCCGACTCACATGGATTATTTGTTTACAATATTTCTTCTACAAGCAAATTGATTGTGAAGCTGGTCTATTGACCCAGATTTTCTAGAAGAAGGAAGTGACAAGGACTTAAGGATGTTCAGGTGCCGGTTTACAAGAATTCTTAACTCGGAGCACAACCTGTCAAATTTGTTCTTGTGTTTATTTTGCAGCATAAGTTTACCATAGATAAATCCAAACTAAAACTTGGGGGCTAATGTCGGGGATATACCCCGCGGTGTAACCCGGCCGGAAGTATAATCCGGTCGGACTTGGCGACTCACTAATGACCCGCCCTGACTGGACGACACACTAAGTGACCCGCCCGATCCTGGCGACTTATGGGTGACCTGGCAAGCAGATCAGAGGAGCGCCAAGACCCCGGGGCCCAGGAGGCTCAAGGCCCAGAAGGCCTGCTTACGTTATGGTAGGCCGGCTTAAGAGGAAAGGCGTGAGAAATATCTCCCTTACAAGGAATCAAGACCCGGACTTGTATCCGACTTGTAGTAGAAGATAGGCTAGTCCTAATCCTATTTGGACTCCACATGTAACCCGCCCCTCTAACTTATATAAGGAGGGGCAGGGCTCCCCAAAGAGGGACAGGTAACAAGAACAATCTCTAGGGCTAGACACAAAAGCCGGCTTACCGGCGACTCTCTCATGATGATAATGAGACATAGCCACAAACAACATGTAGGGTTATTACCGGATGATGTTTCCCGGGGCCCGAAGCTGTCTAAATCCTTGTCTTGCATGTTGCGTCTCTCGTCCCGATCAACCCTCTCAAGCTACCACATAGATGCGTTGGCCTCGCGACTAAGTCCTGACACTAAAGACATCTGCCGTGACAATTCCACGACAGGTAGGGTATGCGTGTGTGTTCATAGGGATGAGTTTATGTAAGCACATGCGATTGTACCATGTTTAAAAACATTATCAGACGCAAAATATGGTAAAGAAAAATCACTGAGTGTCATATAGATATTCGGTTACCTAACACTCCCTCAGTCAGAACGGGAGATTCTTGGATGGTGAAACTGTAGAGGACGAAGTCACAATGGCGATGAGCTGATGGCAGCCTCTTGATAAACATGTCGGCGAACTGGTGAGAATATGGTACATGGAGTGTGCGGATGCAGCCCGGTGTGACACGGTCCTGCACGAATTGAAGATCAATTTCGATATGCTTCGTGTGTTGTGTGAGACCTAGATTTCACGAAAAAGGACGAACCTAGATTCTAGTGGAGAATGCAGTGGCATGTTTGCTTCAAACAGAGGCTGCATGCGTGTGTTTTAAGATGTCCTCATATCCAGCCATGTATAAATTGGCACTCCCTCCGTCCGAAAATACTTATCGTGAAAATGACTAAAAGTGGATGTATCTAATACTAAAATACGTCTAGATATGTCCATTCCTCCGACAAGTATTTTCGGACGGAGGGAGTACATCACCTTCTTTGTGTAAGAGGGTGTTAAAATGACTGGTTCTGTTGCTTGAACTTGTGAATGGGTCGTCTATTCTCTGTCACTTTGCTTGGCCGTCCCAGTGAAAACTGAATCTGCAGTGGTACTTGATTCATCAATTGATGGAACCGCCATTTTAGCCCTCTCTGAAAGAGCTTGGAGCCTTCATCGTCTTGCTGCCGTAGCCAGACAATATATGTTGTAATGGTGTCTAGCATCCAAATTGTGTTTATTTGGACTACCAACGTCCTGCGTATCGCACTTTAGGTTTTTTTTTGTAGCATTGGAGTACTTTTTTTATTAACACCTGGGTCAGACCATAGCATCAAACCTAAGATTTGATCTCCGATGGACTCAGGTACCACCATCCTCTTAACTTTTCAACTACATATTGGTTTTCTTTTGTAGTATTGTCCTAACAGATGATCAAGGGCCTCTTCGTGGTAAATGTGCTAAAGATTTCATTCCTATAATTTTAGAGAACTACTCCCTCCGTTCTGAATTACTTGTCGCACATATGGATGTATCTAGATGTATTTTAGTTCTAGATACATCCATTTCAGTGACGAGTAATTTGGAACGGAGGGAGTACTATCCAAGTTCTTCCTTTTTTTTTGGCCAAAACGAAAAGAACATCACTTTATTTAAGTGGAATAGCGTCACTTTCAAATAGATTTATACTATTTAGATTTTTTATATATCTTTATATAATTACTTTTTTGAGTCTATATATTACATTTTTTAAGAAAACTTTTTTTATTTTTTTGCGGGGTAAGAAAACTTTGTTTGCATATTGCTTCTGACCGATCTTGCTTCGCTTTGAGGACTAGGGCCTTCACCGGCTCATCGGCCCACACAAGTGTACTCGGGAACATGCAGAAATCCAAGCGAGTGCTATATCTCGCATTCAGTGAGACCGAAGGTTTCTGTCGCTGAAGCGTTTCGACTAATCGGGATGGCTCACTAGCGTATGGAGAAACAGAAAAAGCAGGCGCACACTACTTCAGGTAAAAAACCGGAGGTTTCTAAAAAATAGGTAAAAGACCATCGGTTTTTTCTCTGTTTTTTCGTCTCTTTCGTTCTTTGTTTGGTTTTCTTATTTTTCTCCGGCTTTCTTTTTTTCTTCATTATAATTGGTTTTTCTTTTGGTTTCTCTTTTTTTCATGGCTTTTATTGTTTTTCTTTTCTTTCTTATTTTCCTTCCTTTATTCTTTGGTTTTTATATTTTTCATTTTTGGTATTCTTTTTTCTTTTGCTTCTTCATTCTACATTTTCTGAGACAAATTTTTGTAATACATGTTTATAATACATGCCAACAACATTTTTTCAATACGTGTTTAACATTTTTCCAAGACAAATTTAACATTTTTTAATACATACTACATAGTCAACACTGTTTCTATACAATTTTTTTAACATTTTTTAAATGCTTTATTAACATTTTTAACACACTTGTTTAACATTTTTTAATTCTTGATTAACATTTTTTATATACATGATCAAACTTTCAATCATTTTTTAATACATGGTAAAAAAAATCTATACAAATTTAACATTTTCCAAATTCTTGATTAACATTTTTCAAATAATTGTTTAAAGTTTTTTCAAATGCTTGGTTAACATTTTTTTATACATGATAAAATAATTCATATTTTTTAATACATGCTCAACCTTTTTTCTATACACATTTAACATTTCCCAAATGCTTGATTAACATTTTTAAAATACGTGTTCAACATTTTTTCCAAAATGCTGGATTAATAGTTTTATATACATGATTAAAAAATTCATCATTTTTTAATACATGCTCAACAATTTTTCTGTTTACATTCAACATTTTTCTGAATGCTTGGTTAACATTTTTCATGTAATTGTTCAACTTTTTTCAATTTTTTTGTAGATTGTTTTTTGTATTATATATATATATATATATAAATACAAAAATAAAGCAAAAACGAAAACAGAAAACAGAAAAAAGAGCCTGTGGCCTGCCTCGCGCGTGGGCCGGCCCATCTCGGTCGTCGAGAAATGAAATGCAGGCCTGTTCTACCCAAGCGGAAGAGAGGGTGTGTCTGCTCCGTCGCCGATCTCGCCTCCGCCGCGAATCCCCCCAAACCGCGAGCAGATTCGCGCCGGTCTCGCGACGATTTTTGATGAGATAAGCCCCCGGCCACCTCGGGGTTCGCCATGCTGCGGAAGGCGGCCGTCGGGTTCCTCGCCTGCCTCGTGCTCTACCTCGCCTTCTCCTCCTACCTCCGTAGCCAGGTACGGCTCGCGCACTTCCCCATTCCGGGAGCTTCCGATGGTTGGTTCGGTCCGGTTGTGTCGTAGAAACAAGCCTGAATCTGGTGCGGCCGTTCCGTGCTTCGTAGTTCAGTCTCCTAGGAAGTGTCGATAAGGCGGAATCGGACTGGATCTTCCTGCTCCATTCTCAATGTGCATGTCTGTACTTAGTCAATCCTTGCCTTGTTGGTAGTGGCTTCGTGATGTGGACATTTTTCCTTTTCATGACTACCGCGACTGCCTTGTTGGTAGCAGTGACTACAGAGGTGATGAGCTGATGATTCAGGATTACAAAACATTTACCCATTTTTCCTTTTCATGTTGGACAGAGGGCTGCATATGTTCAGTTTCCAGCAGTTACTCACAGGGTATACCTGGACGTGGAAATTGATGGCCAAAATATAGGTACATCTTTCTTTCATAACATACTTTTTCTTCTGATGTCGCGCTGCAACTTGCATTGTAACAGGCACATGTTACTGAGCTTAACGACCATTTTCCGGCTGCCCTAATTCTTGTGTGGCCTGTTGTTACAGGTAGAATTGTCATTGGTCTTTATGGGGAAGTGGTGCCAAAAACAGTTGGTATTTTCACACCCTCTTTCTCTCTTTCTACTCATGCTTATATTTTCCTGTTGAAGCATATAACTCTTTGGGGGTAACGACCTAGTCAAAGATTGCATGATTATCCTGTTGTGAAATAAAATCTTTCGTAGAAAGAAGTTATTTATGCTGAGGTCTTGTGCACCTTGTTAGATACTATAAAATGGTGAAAACTGGAAATTGATTGCATGGTCATTGTTCTCAGTAGTTTAGTGGAGGAAGACTGATGTGTAGATGCATGCCTATACCCCAATCTTGTCTGCTTGTTTGCAACTTTTCATTCATTTTGTTAAGATGTCTGTGGTTGTTAATAAGGAAAAAGGGGCGTCAACAGATGAACTATACTAAATGTCTTCCAGCTTTCAAATATCTTGCCAAAGGAACTATTTAGTAATATACAGGAATACTATCTTTCACTTATGAAGTTTATTTTCGGTACTGATATTTTTTTTCCTGCATTTTGCAGAAAATTTTAGAGCCCTTTGTACAGGTATTGTTCTTCCTTGAATTGTTTGCATGCTGTCTTCCTTGAATTCCTTGAGGTGATTTTTCATACTGTACTTTGTTCATTATTGCAGGTGAAAAGGGCGATGGGCCCAAGGGTAAACCTCTTCACTATAAAGGAACACCATTTCATCGAATCATCCCAGGTTTCATGATTCAGGGTGGTGACATAGTTAGAGGTGATGGGAAAGCAAGCGAATCTATATATGGAGGCACCTTCCCAGATGAGAATTTCAGTGTGAAGCATACACATCCAGGTCAGATGTGCAACCAGGGGTTCCTTTTTTTTCAGTTTTTACTTTGCCTTTAGTTATATACCAGCTTAGTAACACACTTATCTTCTACAAGTTAATTCATCACAGTTTTAACTTTGCCTTTAGTTATATTACACACGTATCCAGTAATCAGTTCTGAATAGACTGTTGCTAACCTTAATAATGTAATTGCCGTGCCAGCTTGTATATCTTTCTTTTGATATTAGCTATGCAAGGTTGAGAGAGTTTCTCAAATGTAGGCTCATAGGGAATTGTGATCCCAACATAGTTTGGAAACAAAGGCAGGATAATGTACAAAATAAACCATGTCATGTTTAACTCAACAAATCAACAATAAGTGATGGCCGCATCACCTAAATCCAAATTAATTTAGTATTTTCACACACACGAATTAGATCTTAATGAATCAGGTAAATGGAGGAAGAACTTGGAAAATGGAGAAGCATAGAATGATATGTAATCGGTTCTTTATGAAAAATACAACAATGTTGCCTTATATAATCAACTAATACGTGTACCAACTGCTGTAGCAACTCTAAGAAAAATAACAACGATAAGGACAGGTTCTCTCCAAGCTAAAGTGCAGCAAAACAAGATCTAAAGTACAAATGATGTTTTTTATGTGCTTTAATGAAAACACACATAAAGATGCAACCTAGGACCTAAGCAAGCATGAACGGATCAGAGAGGACGAGCCGGAGAAAGATTGGCCAGGCTTACACAAAACTAACCCGCGGAGGGAGTTGGGTAGAACAAGGTTGGCAGGAGTACCATCTATTTTGTGACTGCCACTGGCGAAGTTCCTACATAGGCTATCTTTATTATTTCGTCTGTCCTCCATAAGTACTGGCGTATTGCATGAGGTTCTGAACTATTTTTTGAGATTGTCTCAGATAAATAAATATTATCTTCAGAGCTCCCTCACACTTTTAGCATTGAAGCAAATGTACCAAAGAAAAAGGAAATGCCGTCTCCTTAGCTGAGGCAACTGTTGTCTCAGCCCAAGCCGACCAAGCAGATTGAACTGGGGCCTTGGTGCATCACTGAAGCTGGTAAGCACTACGGGCATGTTAGGTTGCCATCCACACTTTGCCACACTTTTGTGCCACAAGTGTGGCAAATTGAGGCAAATGTTTGGTTGCAGCCACAGTTGTGGCATGCCACACTTTTTCAGTCACATACCCCACTTGTCATGGACTCAGTTGCTGGCGAACTTTTGCCACAAGTGTGGCAAAGTGTGGATGGCAACCAAACATGCCCTACATCTGGCGACGAAGCAAGTTCCAATGAGACAGTAGTGTAAAACCTTGATCCTTGAGGGCCACTTGTAATGTCCACTAGCACCTTTGGGTGTACTAATGCACTAGTATGCCTGCAAAATCCCTTTTGCTCCTAATTTCTCAGCCCTCATATGGCAAGATTGATCACTACATTACACAACTGAAAGTATGCAAAATACACCTAATGGGGTTTCTCAGTGTTAACATGATCTTAAAAGGTACATTCTGGCATAAATGAGTACTGAAAATAGAGCTGGAAGTGGGTGTGTATATGATTGTGTGCGTCACTACTCTCTGTTACGTGGTGTTCTTAAATATTCTTCCGGCATGTTCTGCCTTGTTTTAAGTACCTCGTAATGTGAATACCCTGTTCTGAAGTTGAGTTACCTTGTGATCTTGCAGGTGTTGTTGCTATGGCAAATACTGGAACTGATTCCAATGGAAATTCAGTAGGCTGCTTGGTCTACTCTGTTGCCTATGGATTAGACACCACGCGCTTTCGTGACCGGTTTTCTTCGCACACCAGCCATGCTTCGGGCAAACTTCTGAATGTTGTACATTGTAGCCAGCGTGTCGCATGCCAAAACCTACTTGTATCTGATCTAGTAGTGATATCCATATTATGCTAGGGATTTTTGTTACTGGATCTACCTACCCCTAGCCTATGCTGTAAATTGCCAAACGGATGACTAGAGTCCATTGAAGAACCAGATTCGACCGCATGACCCTTCTTTGGCTCTGAAATGATTTTCTTCAGACATTGCTTTTACTAAAGTTGAGTTTTGTCACTTATTACAGCACGCAAGAAGCGGCAGAGATAGCACCCCCAGCAAGCTGAAAGGAACTACCAACAGGAAATAAAAACAGCCATGTTTTACAAGGGAGCATACGTCCCAGCAAAGGCCAAAGAAAACTAATGATCACACGAGGAGCACTATGGGGATAACGCAGCTACAGCTACGGGTAAACAAGAACACCAGGACGCCCAGCCCCGTCCGCTGCTCCACCCAAGTCCTGTA